GTTTAAAACATAAAGAAGCTGTTTTATATTTTACTCTTACTTACATATCAAGTGACGCATAAATCCAGCCATAATTTGACATGGTTTTCCCAACTTATGTAACAAGTCGCACTCACGCACAAATATGCATTTATAATAATTTTCAACCAACAACATAGTTTTAGATGCATGTGTTCGAAATGTATGCAGCGCTCCGTCTATCTTCTTCGTTGTATACCTATACTTAAAATATATGAAATATTTTTAAAAATACTTTTATAAATATTTTCAATTTTAATGATAACTAGAATGCTGTTACCCGTACTTAGTACGTACTTACATGTAAGTACATAATCATAAGTCCAATCACCAGTGGCAATGCCCCAATAAAGCTTACCTCGTAAGGTCATTCAGCAGTTTTCATAACAAAATTATTAAATATTGCGTTTCATTTTATTTTGCATATCAGAGCACCGGAGTAAACATTATTATGTACAAAAATATAATTTGGTTGGATTTAGGGTTATTTTAAGTCATCATCATCATCCTTAAAGCCCTTTAAAGTGCATGACTAAACATAGGCCTCCCCCAAGTAATGCCTGAAACCGCGGTCCTGAGCCATCTGGGTCCATCGAGTGGGAGACTGCCCTACACTCCGTGGCTGCCATCCAAGAAGCTTTCTTTCCTACCGGTCGTCGATTCTTAAAGCTATATGATCAGCCCATTGCTGCTTCAACTTACTAACTCGTTGGGCTATGTCGGTTACTCAGTATTTTATGACACTGATAAACTTCAGATAGTTTAGTAAAAGCTACTAAATAATTTTATTGTATATTTTATATGTTTTACTGTAGAATTTAGATTTGTGCTATAACTATCTGTAAATATACCTTACCTGGAGTATCTTACAATAAAACATTATATAAAAACAATGCATATATTTCATTTTCATCTACATAAATATTACACACGTACATATAATTTTAGATAAATTGTAATTTAAACTTTGCTTATCATGTATATAATCAAAGTTAAATAACACTATTAAAGGTTCTATTTTTTATTTGTACCCTGAATAATAATTAATGGGTTTCCAAATCCAATACCAAATGTTAAAAGAGACCATGCTAGTGAATAACACAGATGCTCTAGAAATTCACAAGTAACTATAAATTAATGGAAAAGAACTTATTACACTACAATAGAACATAAAATTGATTGAAAAAAAAATGAGTTAAAAAATCCCTGTATAATTAAGACAAGCCGCCTAATCACTAAGAAGTTGACCTTATACTACGACAGATACAATCCTAAAGTTTACTCCTATGTAAAAATACTTTTGGGAAAATCAGTCGCAATGTTTATAAAATGTTTAATACCAATTAATTTAAAATTACAATAATGTTAATAAAATATAATTTACTCTATACAAATGCAAAAAAAAATATATATCAGAGGCAAGGAAAGATTTGGAAATCATACCAAAATTAAACAAAATTATAATGGTAATAATGTAACATATAATGCATATCCCAAAAACAATGCCTTAAGTCTAAGCAAAAATTTCCAATTTATGATTAACACTTTCATTGTCCAAGCAGTTATTACAAATTTCCCACAACGTCCAAGCAATTATATATAGTATGTGCTGGGTACCGCATGTGGATCCCTGAACTCCCTGGGCTGATTGGGACGAGCATCAGGAGTCCGAGGTCCCACATGTGACCCATTTTTAATTTTAATCTGTGGGGTTATTTTTAATTTATAGTACATTTTGTTATTAATCTATAGCAATCAGCTGTTTAAATTTTTTAATAAAATAGTTTAAATAAAAACGAAAGATGTCTCGCAGAACAAATGACGAAGATATTTTACGTTATTTAGAAAACAGTGACGAAGAATTAGATTATTGCAGTGATTCGTCATTAGATCCATTCCACGCCAGTGATGAAGATGATCCTGATTATGAAGTGCCTCAAGATAATCGACATGATTCAGGAAGTTCTGATAATGAAACATTGGAAAATATAAATAGATTCATTCAATATAGTCAGCCCCAACAAATGCACGTTGACGAGGAATTATTTTTACCGCAAAATGATTCAGACCAGAGAGATTTTGACGACATTCCTATGAATATTGCACAGTCACCAAATCCCATCGAAAATCAGGTGCCGTCGGTGTCTGCAGTTTCAGTAAGTGAACTTTCTTCTCAAAATAGCCTTCGAAGTGATCCACATGAACATTTGAAAACTAAAGATATGAACAACGGATGGAGTTATACCGTTCGTGATCTACAACGTTTACCATTTACTGCTGAAGAACGTTTAGGCGTCGATGTTGAAAGTCATTCCACTGTGGAGTCTATTTGTTGTTATATCATAGACGATGCGTTTTTTGATATGATGGTGGAACAAACAAATATATATGCAGCGCAATAAATATGTTGAAAAAATTTCTAGGAACTATTCTTTACACCGGTATTGTTGTGAAGCCGACCCTGGAATGCTATTGGAAAAAGGATCCAATTTATTACCATCCACTCATGCACAACTAAAAAACTAGGCATGTCCTATAATACATTTACTCTAATGCTTAGATGCTGGCATTTTGCTGATAATTCAGTCCCACGAGATCCAAATAATAGATTATACAAAGTACAGCCCCTTGTTGATAAAATCGTAAACAAATCTCAACAACTGCTTACTCCTGGCGATTGTGTTATAATTGATGAGTCTATGGTACCCTTCAAAGGTCGTCTTCTATTTAGACAATACAATCCATCCAAAACTAATAAATACGGAATAAAAATTTATAAGTTATGTACTGCAGATGGCTATACTTGGAAGTATGAGATATATTGCGGCGCCGACGAAACAATAGAGAATTTGGATAAGCCTGGCAGTATCGTTGTGAAATGATGTCGTAATTTACTTGGTGCTGATCGTTTGATTGTCGCAGACAATTTTTATACTAGTTTTCCTCTAGCGACATATCTTTTAGCTAATCAAACTGATCTTTGTGGCACTCTAAGAAAAAATAGAAAACTTCTACCGGAATATGTGAAAGCAAAACAGCTACAACGGGGTGAAATTATTGCCGGCCAAAATCAAAAAGGTTACCGTCAGCAAATGGAAGGATAAAAGAGACGTTCATATGATTTCCACTTGTCATAGTGATGAAATGTGTATGACTAGACAAAGAAATCCTAAACCAAAACCCAAAGTAGTTTTAGAATATAATTCAAAAAAAAGGGCATTGATTTCTCGGACCAGATATGCAGTTATCAATCACCAATAAGAAAGTCATTGTAGTATAAAAAATTGCAATCGACATGATTTTCGGCGTAGCAATTACAAACAGCGTTGTGGTTTATAACAAACTACATCCAACTGCTGTACGTAAAGAAAAAATGACTATACTTCAAGCTAAATCACGTATTCTACGACTATTTTTGAATTTAGAAGAGGACACTTCCTCCATTCATCGTCCGTCATCATCGTCCATAATATCGATACCATCGTCACGAAGAACCACAAATCATTATCTTGAAGAAATACCTCGTAAGGACGAGAAAAAAAAATTATAAGGAGACGGTGCTCACTGTGTTACGATGAACAGCGAAAATTGGGACTGACAGTTGCTCAAGCAAAATCAAAAGCCAAAAAAGTTGACCATATTTGTAAACAATGTGAGAAACCATTCTGTTTGGCATGTTTTGCTAAATTTCATATATAAAACTCATATTCTATGTTCATTTTCTTTATTTCATTTACTATTTTGTTTTTGTCATAACTTGGTCAAAAATAAAGATATTTGGAGGTACACAAGATTTTTAGTTCACTAATTTCAAGCCCTACAAGTTCACCTCTTGATAATGATCCTTTCCGTAGAGTCTAAGGATATTTTCTTGTATGAAATACTATACTAGTCGGGTACCACATGTGAGACCCGGACGTGTAGTGCTATACGTGTCCCACATACCTGGTACCTGGACAGTGAAAGTGTTAAAAAAGGCTGGAAAGAATAATACAATAATATTCCAGTACTTGTTTTAATTATTAAGAAAATCAAATTTTAATATATAATCACTTTCTTAATATTATTATGGATTTGAATCAGAAACTAAAGCTCTCATAATATTAAAGAAAGCATTAATTTATTTTCCTTGATGGTTACTTATTAATAGTAATCAACTGAAATCATCAACATTTACTAAATAAACATATTATAATACATTTTGAAATACATAGTGGTTATATGCCTTTTGTTTAAGACTAAGGCATAATAATTGCCATGCATACATTTCTTCATAATGAACCTAAAAGTTCTCAACAATTTCTACATAATTAATTGTTTTCTTAATTTTGATATGATTTTATTGAATATTCATATTTATATTTAACAAATTTGGAACTGCTCCTGAAGCCAAAACAAATAATGAAAGATAATAGGTAACCAGCCAGTCTCTTAATTATGAAGTAATATACAATTATTATAGAACATACTAGTACATTTACATCTTTTTTTTGATTTAAACATTAAGATGAAAAGATGAAGTACTTACTCTACTCAGTACTTTTTCTACTAAATTGGAAATTAAAAAAAACTCCTGATTATTATCAAGATGGAAGAAGATTATTATCATTATTAATAATATACAATAAAGTTTTCAAGTATATTTGAAATGAAGATTTATGATTTATAATAAAGTTAGTTTACTATATAATTAATGGTACGTAAATTTAATATATTATATAGACACTTGTTTGTAAAAATATTGTGTTTGCTGTAGTAATTTATTTATAGCAGAAATGAGATTTTTTAGGATCATGCACAATGGAAGTCCATAGTCTCTGCCTACCCCTCTCGGTGACAGTTGTGAGTGTTTTATGTATATATGTATTTTTTTATCATTTATAAACATAACAATATCTTCTTTAAACTTATTAAGAATACATGCGGTTTTACACAACTAAATCAGAATTTCATTATTCCAACCTTCTATTAATCAAATGGATTTATGTCTCCTCTATGTTAGGATTTTCAGAAAACAGTTGATCATCATTATATGTACGCAAATATTTCTTAGTGAACAAATAGAGAGTCAAACCCCACTTCATCATCATAAATGACCAAATCAGACGTATTATGATACTTGTCTGGATAGGAACAATATCTGAAATATAAGTGAAATTTATATGATTTTATAATTTTCTACACATTGTTTAAACATGCAATACTCTGGTCATCTCAATTTCCTTGACAGGACAGTTTTTGTGAGAATTTTGAATTTGAGGTCATGGTGGAGATCTATGTTAAGTCTGTGCACATAAAGCCGGCGCCAAATAACCGGGAAATTATAATGAACCAATGACATTCTTTAAGTACGTTGCGCATCGAATAATCGGTACAGCTTCTCCCAATGATATCGTAAATTTTTGGGTACAGGTATGGAAAATACAGAATGCTGGAGGGAATCCCATGTTTAAATAATTTACCGAGTTTTCATTGCGATGTCTCTCATTACCTTTAAGTAATGCTATCGTAGAAAGAATTGTTAGCGTGATGGGCACGATAAAGGCAAAATTAAGGAACAGAATGTAACTACCCATGCTGATTGCAATTCTTAGAATCCGTACATATATGAATGTCCGAAATATTTGCTGCAACAATTTTCAACCGAGCAATCATTTGATCAGTTTACACGCTGGAAGAAAAATGCATGTTTCCAGTTCCAGCGAAGCTTGCGCCAGCACCAGCACAGCAGATGCTACAGAAAATTTTGACGGTGAGTCTTGCTGATGCTTTGTTGCTGCTGGCAGCAAATGATGATTGCTGATTTTTTGATACACATCTTATGAATAAACAAATTGTTAAAAATTACGTTTTTATTTATTCATAGCGAAGTTTTGATGTTTGGGCTACTTTAGGCTACTTCAGCTCATATTAGGCTATATTGGGCTACTAAATCTGTGAAAAATGGCGATATCAGGTTCCAAGTCGTTGGCAACACTAACTTGCGCAAAGTTCAGTCGTACGAGCGTTGTTGAGCGGGATGGTCCTACGCAGTATGTTTTATAAATAGGTCCAATCATAAAGACAGTAAAACAAAATCAAATGAATGTGAATGTGAATTGTATGGTTACCTTTTATCTGATAAGTTAAAACCCTTGGATGAAGATGACAGACTAGTAATTATGAATGAAATAGATAATCTCGTATTTAAATATTTTATAGTATTATTTTTGCACATGTAATAAATAATAACATGCACTTAAATAATACAGGCACACTGTATCCACAAAATCATCGTCCATCTTGTTTTCCGTTTATTAACATACTGTGGAGGTGTGTGTTTACAAAGCATGTCTGGCAGGTTGCGCCACTAAATGTTCAAACAAGTGTTCAAAGTCCTTCAAATAAGTGTTCAAATGTTGTTGCTATATCTGGCACCGACTAAGGCCACTCACGGTTTCCTTCGTGGATCTACCAACTTTTGAACTCCGCCATTGCCAGTCCCATGCCCGGATGAGAAAGGAGGAGGAGTGATTCCGCCGGAGAGTGAGTGTATCCGGTGGACTAATACACCCACCTGCGCTAGGACCTGCGCAGTCGAGCGCCGTAGGCGGGGATGAAGGAGTCCTGGAGGGTTGAGCCGATCGTCACTGTGGCATATAGTGAATAGGGAAATGGCCAAACCCCCCGTCAGAGGGTCGCAGGCGAGGGACGTGGGGGCTGCCTAGTTTTCCTGAAAAAGGGCTAGGTGGTGGTAAAGGCCATACTGACGGAGCAAGTGACAGTCTATTCGGGTAGTGGGGATGAGCTGGATCGAGCTCCCGATGTCCCACTGTGAGCCAACTTCGCGTCCCTATATTCCCCCGGTAATTCTAACGCCTGAAATTCTTTTTTTAAAGTAGGGGGTTCCCAAAAGTGCGGGCTACATGGAGGGTTTGAAGGGGGACGAATTTTAAACACAAAAATAAATATGGACAATTTAAGGCCCAGTAGGAAAGAGGGAGAGGTGTCAGAGGCGCTTACCAGAGACACCATGAATAAGGGGGAACCACCATTAAACCGACGGTTCCACGGACTGTACCATCCAGCGAAGGTGGCCCCACCAAGGGGACAACTTCCACGCTGGACGTTCCCAAAACCAGTTCCAAATCTGAGGAGCTGGACGCGAAAAAGGAGCAAGAGCCCGCAAGTAACAAAACTCCTGCGGAGCCCCAGAGAACGGACGACCTTTTCTCTGCTGTCTGACAAGTGGTGAGCCATAAGGGGAAGGGGAAGGCAAAAAAAAAGGTGACTTGCCGACCTGACCGACCAACAGGAGGGCCTATTCCTGCAGGCAGTAGTGTAAACACCAAGAAGAAGAATAAGAAGCAGCGGGAAAAAAGCCGAAGAGAAAGAGCTTTTTAGAGGCAAACCCGTTTACACAGAGGGTGTTCTGAAGCCGTGGTGCGACGATCTAAAGGCTCTGGATTGGTTGAAGGGCAATATTGCTACCCTCGACCTTAAATCCAATACCTCGCTGATCATAAAGAAACAGTCAGAGATACCACAAAGAGTCAAATGTGGTATCCTTATCCCTGATGCTCAGGGAGCCTGGAAAGACTCACGCAACATTAGTCGTGTGCTGGCGTACCAGAACCGCTGGGTGAACATCAGGGACTGGCTGCTACTCAAGGGAAATAAGCAGACGGACGGGTGGTTCCTCGTTGTTTCGGTGCGGGAGGATCATATCCCTACCCTGATGAAAGCCGGACGCCGTCTCGCATGTGTATATGGTGCGGTATACCTACGTTAAATTCCAGGGTCGTGGAGGTAAATTCTTTGATACTCCACCAAGCAAAGAGGCAGATAACAACCCGGAAGTCATGGATACCGGGGCCATGGTTACCGGTACAGCGTAATCACTGAATGTCAAGTCCAGTGAAAAATCGGCCTGCACAACTGAGCCGAAGCCTCCAGTAGAGATCGGGCTCAGCGGCAGCTCACTGAGTGACAAAGAGGACTGCATTTTGCCGACCACTTCCGACTCGGTAGCTGATGATGAAACTCGAGATCTGCTGGCAGGCTTATTTTTGGGCGCGGACGGGGAGGACGCGATCAATGATGGCGTGCCCTTCGTCCAGAACTAGACTAGTGCTGGCCCACCACCACCACAGCGAAACTGCGTCGGGTCAATTACGCAAGTGGTTGGAGGCTCAAAGGACGTACATAGCCTTAATCCAATAACCGTGGGTAGGGGCTGGTAAAATCAAAGGCCTAAACAACCTAAAATGTAAGTTATTCTTTGACGGCTCCGTGGCGCAGTGTCTTAGCAATGAGTTGTTGCGCTGGGTGCCGCGGGTTCGAATCCCGCACGGAACAAGTATTTGTATGGCCTACAAATAATTGTTCCGGGTCTGGATGTTTGTCCTCATGCAAATTATGTTTGTAAACTGCCTCCACGACACAGGAGAAAATCCTAGTGTGGGGGTAACATTTTATAAAAAAAATTAGAAACAATAAAAAATTCTACAGCTCTGAACACGACAAGCCTAGAGCGAGTATTTACACTACTAAAGATATCTGTGCACAACCATTAACAGATTTCTGTTCCCAAGGCATGTATTCCGTGGCAATACAATATACACAGGAGGGAAGATTAGTCATCGCCTCGGTCTACATGCCGGAGGAAGACACTCCTCCCCCTCATGACCTCGTCAGGCTGGTGAACTTCTGCGAGAAGACCGGACTAGAGATTGTGATCGGGACGGACTCTAATGCACATCATCCTCTCTGGGAAATGGAAAACCCAATGAACGAGGTAAGGTGTTAGTTGAATATCCATTTAGCACTTTTTTTTTTTCGTGGGGAAATCCTCATGGATACCTCCGGCTGCGGGGGCAACCGAAAGGTTATGCCGGACTCCTACCGGCTAAAACCCCACGGTGGTCTCCATCAGCGTATACGAGGGGTCCCGGGATCTCCGTTCGGAACACAACCGGGGCCCCTCTCTCGCTTCGCTTTATTGGAAGCACGTCCCAGGGGCAGAACTTACTACCCCCAGCACCCTCGCAGTGCTATCACGATGTCTCGGGACCACTTCCGAGCCATCGTCCTCCTCGGGGGTTACGTTACTAGGCATTCGAGGCCCCCGCTCCAAACGCCTGCAACCCCAGAGGCCCCGTTTCTGGTAGGGGAACACCATCTTCAGAGGGAGGGCCGTGACGAACGCCTTGATGACGTCGTCTCCGAGTGGGATCTGTCCTCCTCCGATCCCGCTCAGCAGCCTCCTTCTGGACCATTACGGACTCACAGAAGTTGGCTACGGCCCTCCACGCCGAGTCCCCGCTCAACATCGCCGACACGACTGCTGGCAGGGAGAGGTCCCGACCGACCCGGTTTGCCAGGATCATTCGCTCCCGTTCCCACGCTGGACATACCGCCAGCGTATGGGACGCGGAGTCCTGATCCTGTCCACCGCAGTGGAAGCAGTTCGCCGTCGCTTCGCGTCCGATCTTACACAGATAATCACCGAAGCACCCGTGCCCGGTAATTATCTGTGTAAGTCTGTAGGTGAGTCTTCCTACTCGTCGCTGCATCCAGGTTTCGAAGACCGGCAGGATTGCGCCAATAACGCGTTTGCGTGCATAGCGCTCCTCGTTAAGTCGAGTGCGCCACATCGCTAAAGCGTTCTGTCGCTCCTGCCGTTTTATAGACTTGAGCGCCTCATCTGGCTCACTGCCACCTCTCTGACGGAGGATGCGGATTCGGTTGTACACCCTCGCATCCATATCCGCCAGTATATCTAGGGGTGGGAAGCGAGCCAGGACTGTTGCCGCCTCAAAAGATATCGTGCGGTATCCCCGCACGATCCGTATAGCCATCCTCCGCTGGACACTGTAGATTTTAGATCTACAGCGCCGGATGGCTAGCCTTTTCGCCCACACAGGTGCCCCGTATAAGGCTACGGATCGTACTACCCCCGCATAGAGGCGGCGTATTTCCTCCCGCGGTCCCCCTAGATTGGGCAGCAGTCTGTGCATAGCACCCGCCACCCTCTCAATCCGGGGGACTAGGCGCTCAAAGTGCTCTTCGAAGCCCCAGCGACTGTCTAGGTGGAGCCCTAGGTACTTCATGTACCGCCCCACTCTGACTACAGACCCACCCACGTAGACGCACGAGTCG